AAACTAATAAAAAAATAATAAATAGGAGTTTTGTCGAAAAATATTTTGAGAAAAAAAAGACTTACAAAGTCACACAGAGTGTAAGTTTCAGCGTTGAAGCGGAAGCGGGGTACAATAAACAACCCATGCGGAGGTGATCATAAAACACCAACATCCAAACGAATATTCTCCCAGGGGGTGATAGACGAATGAGATGAGCTTCCATGTCTGCATGGATTGTTTTGGAAAGCATAGATGGATGTTTAGATATTTTGAAATCTCAAGGAAGGCCAAGCCAGCACCCACGTAAATACCGCAGGCATATTTGAAAATCTCATTGTTTTGTCTTGAATGTTTTTGGTGAATATGGCAATTGATCGGGTTTTTTAATATTTAGCTCAAGCTTTGGTGATGGTATGAACATTTCACAATAATTGGTGAACTGAGAAATGGTTTCTCTGCTCTGTTAGTCAAAGATGAAAGTAATGAASCTATAGTTATATTACTGTGAAGGATATGAGGCCGGAGTTTATTTTCAGTAAGGTRTTTGTATTTGCTCTTTTGGTTTAAAAAGAAATTAAATCTTAGATTGGAGAAGGTATTCTTAGTCAGTTGGATTTGTTCTGATGAAATTTTTTTTAAACAAAGAACATCAGTTGTTGARCAACAATCTCTAGTCAATTTAAAGAGGATACTTGGAAATGCGTTCGTTTGTGTTTGTCCGTCATCACTTTTTCTTTCTTCCTTTCTTTACTTCTCTCTCCCTCCCTCTCTCCCTCCCTCTCTCCCTCCCTCTCCCCTTTGGAATTAATCCTTTGTATAAGAATAACAAATAAATCTAGTTGAGTCAAAATGATGACCGATATCATTAATTACTAGTTGAACACCATATACTGAAGAAAGAAGGACACTTATTAACCTGCTGACGTTTTGAACGAAGTAAAGTCGAAGTAAAGTCAAATACCTCTTTAATCTGTCCAAACTTCCGAAACCTTAGTTATAAATGCATATTTTATTATACTCTGTTCGAGTTTATACTCATATATGTCCGACTGAACTACCGATGCAGCTTGAACTACCGCTAAGCCTATATCAGTGGAGAGCTACTTCGCTGAATTCAATCAAAACAAGCTTGCAGAAAAATAACCCCCTCACGTAATTATCGCTTACTTTTCAASTCCTAAAAGCTAGATTTTGAATCAAGCGTCTCCCAATTCCACAAACAGTTTTATATAACAGTTTAATATCTCTGAGTACAAAAGACGGCTTCCAGGAAAAAAGATATAAATTGGTGATCACTCAAGCAAACCGTTATTCGTCTAAAAAARCTATTATTTTCAGGTCCTCGAAAAATCGGCATCTTGCAACGATATATTTAATCTAATAAAAGAAACAATTTTTCATTATCACTGTCGTACTATTTCCTATTTAATATGATTCATTGGTTCCATAAAAAGCATCATCATATCTTCTAACAAGGAAATAAAATCATTAAGTCAAGGGCTTTGTAACACTCCYTTGATCGTAAATTGATAAGACGAGACAATGATAATGATTTATACACCTAAGGGAAAAAACGTTGTGTCATCGCCAAAGGCGATAGGCAATAGGAGATAGGCGAAAAGCGATAGGATATAAAGTCATTCCAAGATCCAAGAATAGCTGGAATGACTTGTGTTTCTGCTTCTTATTCTYGTCAAGARYATGGACCTTMGTGYTGRKACTKATTCRATGTTCTTTGTATTCAACGAAACCATTTCCATGTCGGAATGACCTATCGCCTATCGCCCTCGGCGATGACGACGTTTTTTGAAGTAGGTGAGTTATATAATAGGAGTTCAGTGTATGTCAGCACTGCGAGCGAAAAGTATCGTCTTTTTGTCTGTCGCTACAGAAACAGTAATTATGAATTAGTTTCACTAACTTTGTTGTTATCTTTATTTACAACCAAAGGAGATAAAATAAAGTTGWAATGACGTATTTTTCAGTACAATATATAAGGCTACATCCGGTTAGGTCATGAAAATAGTACACATTTTCATTATATTTAGTAATACGATCTACGCAAAATTAGTTCCCGCTTCGGAAATTACGAAAATCCCTCAAAGCTTACTGTATTTATTTAGCTTTAGATGAATAAATAGGAAGAATTAGCTTAAGAAAGGTTAGAAATAAAGACAAAAATTATTATTTTTAAATCAGTATGCAAGGACAAGGACGAAGGACTTTTCAAGCATGGACGTGTAACATCAATACTCTCAAGCTCTGTTGTGAGTGAGCCGTTCTTCAAGTGTTTTTCTTGACATTGAAATTGAAAGTATTGAAATAATTAGACTATTTTACACGGCACGTTTTGTGACGTATCTCGTGCAACTACGCATAAAAGCCGTGTTGGTTTTCCGTGTGTCACTTCGTTGCCAGCTTTAATAGCTCTCACGGGCTTGTTTTCTTTTCTAGATCGAATGTAATATTTGAATATTTTGATATTCTTGATTGTTTATTATCTTCGTTCGTTTCTTTTTTATAATATTTTTGTTTATATTTATTCATTTATTTATTCTTCTATTCATTCCATCTTTTCATTTGAAGGTTTTTTTATTTTTATTTTTCGCACAACAGGAAGTCCACACTGAAGAAATAAGAAGTATGTCGCAGGTCAGGCCTTAGTTTCCCTTTCCAACCTCGGCATGTTTTTATGCTCGCTAGCATGTTTAGCAAAGGGATTTGATTGTTCTGCCATCTAACCACAGGCAGTCCAAGCTGTATTATGGGCCTCTATTCAGCATTTTCCACACATTGGTTCAATGGTCAAACACAAAGCGCTCACGTGAGGCACCACGGTACTTTCAAAGGATTATTCAAATTTGAACCTTGCAACCTCGACTGAATGCTTTGTGTTTGACCAGTGAACCGATGTATGGAAAATGGTGAATACGAAGCTTAAGTCTAGGTTTTGCTATAGAGCGTTTTCACGTGACGTCACAGTGGCCATTATGGGGTACCAAAACAAAACATTTTCTATCCTCCGGGAACAGAACTCTATTTTTATGGCTCCCTTCTCACGTGAGTGAAAACGCTCTATTCCCTTTTGTTTCTACAACTATTTTACCTGAATCGGGCTTCCTTTGTATTCTACCGCCAATTATCCTCTTCACGTTATAATAGTTTTAGACAAAAAAATATGCTTAGTTCTCAATCCTTTATTCACTCACCTGTTTTATTGGTCTCACTTTACCACTCTATATCACTTCCGGTTTTTTCTTTATTTTCCTTAGAGTGACTTCGAGCTCTTTACATCCCTCTATGAACAAACGAAAAAAAGTAAAAACGAAATTTATGAAGGTTAGGGCAAACAAAATTCACCCGAGACCTAAGGGCAATAATAACAATAATAGTAATAATAATGATGATAATAATAATAATAATAATAATAATCATAATAATAATAATAATAATAATAATAAATAACCTCAGACCCAAAGCCGTCAAATTATTTCTAGAAGCTTACTTCTTGGTATAAGTTAGATTTTCTTGGAAAAATGTAGCTATATATAAAAGATTTAATTGCTAAGGGGTTGACTTGAAAAGACATATGTAACTGTACTCATTGACTTTCTTTTCTTAGCCTCTTGTAATCAAATTAAAAGAATGACTTAAGGAACTACTTTTTAAAGGAATAAAATCTAAACGAGAAAACGCGTCGACACGAAAAAAAAAAAAAAAAAAGAAAAAAATAAGGAAAGAATATAAAGACGTGTAATGTAAAAATAATAGATTGAAAAGTAGAAGCGAAGCGAAAACACGAAGGCAAACTGATCTAATCTTTTTTACAAAAATAAACTAAATATATTAAACTTTGTCAAAAACATCAACTATTCTAAGATATAAAATACTATTTTTAATGGTTTCTTTATGTTGACCCTCGTTACCTTGGAAACGACCATGACTTTGGAGCAGAAATCCGCATGGAATCAAGGAATGACGTTAGCGGATACAACGTGGGCTTATCCCAGGAAAGCCCTATTAGAGAACAAAGGGAATCCAATTACTAATGATTTGGATGTTTGAATTWAAAAAAAAATTATATTGTAAAACACAAAGGATTTCTAGATTAGTCTTTTCTATTTAAAGATTGGATCAACCGCATAAAGTTTCAGGCTTCCTCATATTGTCATTACTTGCGTGGGAAACGAAAAGTTGTGACTAACGTCATCATCAGCTGAATGTTTCTCACGTACCGAGAACGCGCAGAGCAAAGACAGAGAAAAATCAGTGACTCTGCTCTTTTACTCCGATGAAGGACTAGCGTCCAAAACGTTAGAAAGTTTTTTCATCTTTTCACGGTGTATAATTTACTTTTTTATCATTAGTGAATCATTAAGACAAATTTACATCTTTCTAAAAGCTAATGAGATTCATCAGTAAATGTTTTTTTTTTGTACCGGATTCCTTAATTCATGTTTTATTTTTTCTGTGGAAGAAGAGTCACTCTAGCTTTAAACCACAAGGACTGATGATTATAGTCATTCATTCATTCATTTTTAGAATTCATCTTTCTTTCCCTCTTTCTCCCCCTCCCTCTTTCTTTCCTTCTTATATATTCAATCATTCAATTCTTTCCTAGTTATTATTTCTAAATCACATATAGCATTCCAACCAAATTATAACCCTTTACAACTAAAGATGGCAGTACCACCGAAACAGTCTTGCTTTAAGGTTGTGTTTTATTTCTTTAAACTTATCGTCCCTTCTTTTTGTTAAAACCGGCGTCAATAGTTTTGTTATAATCAAGCTACAGCGCAAACCATCATTTAACCTCATGTCATCATTTCAATAAAAGATTAYTTATTTGCAGCATCTTCATTTCGCAAATGGATCCATTATTATGACATAACTCAGAATAAAACGTGACCACCCACGTTTATCTAAACCTAAAACAACATGTGCCATTGCTTCAGGACACATGATTGATCATGTATGTATTTTGGGTATATTTGCCAAGGGAGGGTTCACAATCATGAATATGGCCATTAACTTTTGCATGGTTTTTCTTTCGACTCTGTTATTTTGTTATATTTAACTTGTTAATGAATATGGGCCTTACTAACGCGTTAGCCATGTTTATTCTC